CCCCCCCAAATCTTTCCTCCCTGAATTTTTCCCACTAAGTTTCAGTTAACTATGTCGGGTTCATCGGGTTTTAAATGCTGCTCGAGCTGCAACGACGCCATTCCTGTATCTGACAACACTCTAAAGGCGTTCGATGCCTTGGGAAAATCCCATATCCAGCAGGACTGCCACCATTCTGCTAAGCTGAAAGCATGAATTTGCAGAGATAGAGATCTCTGCCTTAAAATGATCATTTTGGAGAAATCCTAACATCCAGCCTCTGATCCAGGTACTGAACAGGCTGAAAACCTCCCGAATCGATAAAGGGAAGAAGCCCCCCCAGGAAACTCGCCTCATCCATGTCTCAAAGCACAATCGTCCAAACAGTGCACAAGTATGAAACCATCACCAAGGGCCAAAACGGCACCGCGTTTGAGTACATATGACTCGCCAGGCATCTCTGGTTCCGACCACAATGCTATTAAGCACAGTGCGCATAGAAACCGTACCAAGCCATAGGCCTGAGTGTGCCTGCTTCACGTAGCTCAGGAACCTACGTGGTACTAAGCAATCACAACGATGCCACCTTAGTGCAGAGAACTATTGGCAATGCACTGCACCGGATCTGCACTGTGGCAACGTCTGTCGGCACTGTACCTGTCGCAGCACTGGAGCAGACATTGGCAGCAACAGCGATGCCATTGATATCGGTACTGGTTACAGTGCAGAAACAATGGCACCATGTTCAGTTCTCCTTTCCTCAGTACTGATGCTTCACCCACCACAGTGGTACCAAAACACTGCATGTTGCCTATGGAACCATCCAATGATGATGATGGGGATGTAATTTTCTCACCCCAACTGTCATCTGGCACTGAGGTCTCTGTACTATCTTCTCATGCCAGTCTGACACTCCCAGTGGGCAGGGTTATCCCATCATGGGGACCACACCCGTGGTTTCCACCACCCATGCCATATTCAACGCTGTCATGGCTCACAGGTCGTGACCATGCTTGGCCTGTTTGTCCCTGGGCAGGACCCCTCTCTTCAGTGCGGCAGCCCCTTCTTGGGAAGCTTACTCTACTCCAGTGGCAGTGAGACAGCCCTTTCTCAGAGCATCCACTCTAGTGCAGCAACCCTCTCTTGGGGTGCCCACTGTCTTCTGGGGGGCCACCCCTTCACCTCTGGGATGGTGCCTGCCTCTGCTGTGACCCCTTCCAGGGAGATGGGGGGGTACACTCCCTCTGGACCCCCAGGGCCTCCACTCCCATTGGTTTTCATGTCTATACTTATAGGATGCTTGTTTTTATGTAACGATTGACTCCCACTCATAGACATGGATGAAATAAAAAAAAAATCTGTGCACAGGGATCGCTTTCCTAACTCCAGAACCCTTTGTCACTACAGGCTCTTCCCTCATGGGATGGGGAATGCAAATGGCAAACACAACAGCTCATAATCTTTGGTCCCCAGCAGAGAAAACCCTGCACATAAATGTTCTAGAGCTCAGAGCCATCAGACTTGTATGCCACCATTTTCTCCCAGCATTGTCAGGTAGACATGTCAGAGTACACTGACAGCATCTCATGCATGTTTTATATAAACAGCAAGGTGGTGCATGCTCCCATGTTCTATGTATGGTGGCTATTACCCTCTGGAAGCGGTGTCTGAAACATGGGATTACTATAAGTACCTGCTACCTTCTGGGCATTCTAAACACCATCATGGATTGTTTGATCGAGGCAAAATCCGAAATAGACTCCCATCGCAGTACCTCCCTGGTCAAGGCATGCTTCCACTCTCTGGGTCTAGCGACCAGTCACTATAACACCCCTTCTCAGAAGGTAGTGAGACCCAGCATCCAGGGTCCTTTCTATCCCCTTCCCGTGGGGGAGGGCGAAAGGGGCCTAGTGGCCCGAGTCAATAATTGCACTCTTCCCTTAAGGCAATGATGCCTAATAGCCAGAGTCAGTAACAGTTGCTCCCAGTTCCCAGGGCAGTAAGGTCTAGTGGTCAGAGTCATTAATCATAGCTGTAGTGATTGGGGGTTAATGGGATTTGAGCTAGGGAACACAGACCTATCCTCTCTACCAGGTCTCAACCCAGGGCTATTAGTGGTGGGTGTGTCCTACCATTAGCTTAATTTGGGAACCCACTGGAAACATGCTAAGCTCTTGGGAGTTTTACCTCCCAACTCTGGGCTACTTCCTACCGTACTGTTGGTTTCTTCTCCAGTTTCTTCTTGTTTGAGTGCTTCCCTGGCCATTCCCCACTCACTGGCCTCTGCAGTTCGGTCCCTCCATGGCTCTTCCTGTACAACTCAGACTGCAGCTCCTTCCTCTGTGGTGGTCAGCCCTGACTGAGCTGCTCCACTAGCTTTTATACCTGTCCTCCAGTTGGAGCATGCTCAACAGGTCTGGGGGGGTGGGGCTCTGTCAGGTAGCCCTGGTTCAGTCTTTGAGGACAGTGAGGGTTGGTACACCCTGTTGTGCTGATGAATTCAGAGGACTTAGCAGTTCGTGGTACTGGTGAATACAGGAGGCTCTGATTTGTAGCTGGGACAAGGTACAGAAAGTGTTGTGAGATGGGAAAGGGAGCAGCAGTTCCTTGGTCCAGAGGGGGTCACCAGGATCCTAAACAGTAGCTGTAGACAGGACATGTGGAATAAAAAATGGGGAGGGGTAAGGTCTATGTTGTCTGACCTGATGCATCCTCCTTAGACCTCTGCCTTCGACTTCACATCATCTTTTCTCCTCCTTTTGCCCTGTACATCTCTCCGACTGTACACATATGAGCCTTCAAACCCTGTGCTTCACCCTACATCCTCTCATTAGTGCTGTAAATGCTATTTAACTTAATTATTCTGTGCTTAGTCATAATATATAGATTTAGCAAAATACAATGCATTATCCAGGGGTATAACCTATACCCCAAAGGCTTGGCCAGAATAGCTGTACTGGTATAGTTATACCGGCAGAGCTCCTTAGTGGAGATACAACTTCCAGCAAAAGGAATACTGTGTTTAAACCACTTCCCCAAATAACATAGCATACCAGCAAAAGGAGTTTTGCTTATACAGCTGTTTGTGTGTGTGTGTGTGTTTTTTTTGGGGTGGGGTGGGGAGGTTGAAGTGCAACTTCCTATTAATAAATATAAAAATTGTTCACATGTATACTCTTGTGATTAACAGCAAATGTCTGGAGAAGATGAAATTGAATTTTCAGATAAAGATGAACCTGACGGAGATGGAGATGGTTCCAGTGACTGTCCCACTATCCGAGCTCCCTTAAGCTCCCTGAAAAGCCATCAAGGAGTAGTCATAGCAGCCGACTGGCTCGTTGGAGGGAAGCAAGCTGTAACAGCTTCCTGGGATAGGACAGCGAATCTGTATGATGTGGAGACATCTGAACTTGTCCATTCACTGACAGGTATCTCTTTGCTTATATGAAAGCTTTTTAAGATTGCTGGTTTGTTTCTTCGTAGTGATCACTCCTTCCATGCATCTCAATCTTCTGGGTGAGTAATGTGTCTTTTTGGGGATAGGAAGGGACTTAAAGCTAAAAGGTAGCTAGGAGGAGCATTTATGTATGAGAGAGCATTCAAGGAATTATTAAACATAGTAATTGTTCTCCTTTGAGCACATGGTATAACCTATAACATTCAGCAATTATTTTTGAAACTTAGTACAGTAGTTTTTCTTAGTACTTTTGTTTTGTTTTTCATGCCTCTGCTACTTCAGGTAGCAGTAATATATGGCTTGCTTAATGGTCAGATGAAATGACCATTGCATTGTAACTTTCAAATATGGCTCTGAATGTCTGCAACAGCAGTAACATTGCTAATTACTTTACCAGACCAGTTACTATTTGTTACTGTTTTTTGCAAAAATTATGTTGGATCAGCATTTCATTCCAAATGTTTGTGGAAATAAAAAGTCTTATGTTTTTGTTAGCTTATATGTTCTCATCTGTGGTTGTAGGGCATGACCAAGAGCTTACCCATTGTTGTACACATCCCACTCAACGTCTTGTGGTGACATCATCACGTGATACAACCTTCCGTCTGTGGGATTTCAGAGATCCTTCTATCCATTCTGTGAATGTCTTTCAGGGCCACACAGAGTAAGTGACAGTTGCTTCACAGGTTTTTTTTTACATATTTAGAAGTGATGAATGTATTCAGATGATAAACTGTACCAAAAGATTCCTGTACTTTTTATGATATTAACACCATCTCTGTTTAGTTTAGGAAACTTTGCCTTTCACAGAAACCCTTTATTACTCGCCTAGAAATGTAATATTGTAGCATTTAAATAGTAAAAAATAGTAATTGCACTTGCTGTGTTGTTGCTTTATACAATAGGTCTCTTTTTTATGAGGGATGTTGAATAAGTTCAGATTCATTAAATTTAGATTTTATTCTTAAAAGTTTTTTTTAAGTAGTGTTATGTATAATTCAGGAATATAGCTGTAAAATGCTGATAAAGAGAGAATTTCCCTCCCTTATTGTGGTAGTCTTAATGGGTGAACTAAAGGTGACTTGTATAGAGCCAAGAAAACAAATGACAGATGACATTTTAATTTTCTTTATTTTTTTCTTTTTGCGATAATTTTTAACATCACAATTTATACTTACAGATAAGACATTCACAAATATTTCAGGCACTGTTTTGGCTATCAAAAATGACTGATGCGTTTAATACCTTTGTGATGAGTTCTGAGATTTGATGCTGATCTGCTAGCTTTTCCTGAAGATAAGCAGAAGTAGCTGTAGTAGTCTCTGAATATGGTGGCAAAACATACCCTTTTTAGAAGTAAGATGAAAACGAGGGAGGTGAAGAAAGCAGAGGGCAAACATTGTAAATACCTTACCCAAATTAGAAAGTGATATAGATTTAAAAGCCCTTACTGCTTGCAAAGTTTGAAAGCAAAGTTTGACTGCCAAAAGGTGTGTGTGTTTTCAGAAGGTGAAGATGAGAACTGACTTAAATAGGGTTTTCCTTTTATTCTAAATATTTCCATGTTGCTTAATGTGAGTAGATTTTGTACGTGTGCACCTGCTTGTTCCCAGCGTGGATACAGTATCTGAAAAATATAATTTTCAAGCTGCGATGGCTGCTGATGTATTGCAATTACACATTTCTATTTTTTCCTTACATTAGAGTAGACTGAACCATGACTTCATGGCTGGAACTGGTCTGTGGCCTTGTTAATCATGGCCTATACATAGGAGGAATTAGGGTTTGTGCTGCTTATATCCTTCCCCCTGTGCTTTAATACTTGGAGGGTGTGCATACAGAAAACAGAGGGAAGAAATGTGATTTGAAAAATTGTGGTGGGTGTTGTGTTGTTTTAACACTACAGATAAATTTGGACCATTCTTTGGTCACTTTTCTTTAATCTTTCAACCACTCCTGTCACCATTTGTCTTCTCTTTTTTCATTCTTTTGCATGCTTATCATCTTTAGATTCCTGATCAGAGTTTGGTCAGCATTACCTCGCTGATTTGATACAGCATTTTCTCTCCTGGAAATAGTATAATTTAAAAAACTCTTGGTTTACTGTATATCACTTGTATTTTTATCTACTTTATTTTTGGTTTCTTTATAGGAGAAGAATGCCTTTACCACCTTAGATTCTAGAGGTGCTTACAATTCATACTTGATTAAAAAGATATGATGTTTTGCTCTAAGCAGGCTATTATACCTGAGGGATATCCTAATCTTGTTTATAAGAGGAAAGCTTTGTAGTTCAAAACAACATACTTCCATTTGTCTGTTTTTGTGTGCTGCACATAAGTCCCACAATCTGCAAGCACAGCTTGGTATGCTCTGCTGTTATTATGTAGTGCAACAAGAGCTCTTTTACGTACTAGAAAAGGTATAACAGAAGGAAGTACTGGAGGGGTCAATAACCTCATTGTAGCACTGAGAATTTTAGTGAGCTCACACGTTAAAGGAATAGTGCATTTGTCACAGTGACCAGGCTAACTGCACCTCTGTCCCTTTTGCAGTCTCTGAATGCAGCCTCTCTCAGGTGTTGGTCCTCTTGTGTCTTTGTGGTAATTAGAATTCACTAGTATGGTACCCTGACAGTTCTCCTACTCTGTCATTGATGATAACCATTTGGCTCTGTGCGTGCGTGCACACTCCTCTGCATATTTTAAATTTATATGCACCTTTTTTGCTAGAAATTGTGTATGTCCATACCTTATTACACTCTGTGAAGATTTTTAGGGAGGGGAGAAGCAGGTTGCCTAGCTCATGGCTTTCTGGAATGTTAGATTGTGATTCCTACAGTGGACAGCTTGCTTGCTTACCAGATCAGTGGTTTGGATCACCAATGCGGTAGTCAGGTTTTATTGGTGTGGAGTCTTGACAGGTTTGCTCCATCAATAATGGTAACTTTTCGGCTGTGTGTGTGTGTGTGTGTGTGTGTATGTATCTGTGTATGTGTGCTCCTCTTGTGTATTGTGTTGACTTTGCACAAGCAGTCAATACAACAGACTCTGAGAGACCTCAAAGATAAGGATCGAAGGTGTCTGACAGGCTTATTGTCAAACGAAGTACAGTAGTTGTCAGACTCTACTGAACTACAACACATATGGACATTGGACACTGAAGAGACACTGCCCCCTAGACCGGACAAAAAAGGCCCTCCAAGACGCAACTTCATATACAGGTACAAACAAGTTACACTTCACTCCTGATGTATCAGATTGCCACCCTCTGACGTTACTTGGATATCACCCATCACCTTGCACATGATTAGAACATCTCTTTCTTCTTTGAATGATGTCCCCATGGGTGCTCCACTGATGGTGCGGGCTTTTCCCAGTGCTGCATATTGGCAACTTTTTGAGCAGTGTCCAGTTGGGCCACATATGAGCGAAAGTGGCTCACGCTGATTGCGCCCCCTGGAGTTTGTGTGGCCTGATTCCCCATAATTCCTATTTGCCCGTCCTCAGTCGCAGACGGAGCTCTACTGCTCAGCAGCTTTTTCTGCTAACAGGAATTCAAGCAATTAATTAGAAATCGTTCCCTTCTCGTATTTATAGTCAGTAGCACTTAAACAATTTTTTTTCCGCAGAGTGATTGTAAATAGTAATCCTCAGCCTGTGATGGGTGACGCACTTACAACTGGAACGCTTCAACCTTCCCCCACACAAAAATAGAAGAGAAAGAGAAAAGAAAAGTGTGTGGCGTAGATAACAATGGCATGAGACTACCATTATCATTATCAACGTGAAAATCTACCCTTCTTCTGACCCAATCCCTAGAGTTCATAGGAGTGTCTCTCAACTCCACCGCAGCCTGTGCATACTTACCAAATCAGCACTTTAAAACAAAGATCCTGATTCTAGCCATTCATCTGAGTCTCACGATCCCTATACTCACCTGTCTACACCTCCTGGGACAAATGACAGCCACAATGTATGTAATCAGACATGCGCGCCTACATTTCAGATGCCTCCAGCACTGGCTTGCCTCGGTTTACTCATCGTTCAAACACAGAGTGCACAGGCATGGGTTGGTGTCCCCCCTTACTGTCCTCTCATTGCTATGGTGGTGGACCAACCTATGAAACCTCCTCGCAGGCATACCATTTCATCAGGAGCAGTCATCCAACCATATTACCACAGATGCTTCCCTCCTAGGCTGGGGAGCCTGTTTTCAACATCAAGTCACACAAGGCAGATGGTCTGTCAACAAATCCAAGCTCCACATCAACCTTTTGGAGCTTCGAGTAGTGCACAATGCTAGCAAGAATTCCAGCAATACATCCTTGATTCCAGAGTCTGTATTCTCACAGACAATGTCACAATGATGTATTACATCAACTGTCAAGGGGGTGCACATTCCCGTTCCCTTTGTGTGGAAACTGTGTGCCTATGCAATTGGTGCATGAAGCGTAGTATTACCATCTCTGCATCATACCTACCTGGCATTAAGAATGTCCTTGCAGATTTGCGCAGCCGCAACTTTACGACATAGCACGAGTGGAAAATACATACCACGATCCTCCACAACATTTTCTGCCAATGGGGCTGGCCGCACATAGACCTCTTGCCGCAGAGCACAATACCAAACTCCCTCAATACTGCTCCAGGGTGGGCATAGAGTCCAGTTCTTTGGGGGATGCTCTCTTCATTCCATGGGATACTCACTTTCTTTGTGTTTCCACCCATCCCACTCATCTCCAGAGTACTCCACAAGATAGAATCAGACAATGCCTTTGTCGTTCTCATAGCCCCCGCATGGCTCAGGCAGATTTGGTTTCCCTATCAGATGTCTCTTCGATCTCTACCCACTTCTGAACCACCCAGATCTCCTTACTCAGACCAGGGCAACCCTCTGTCACCTGCACCCTTAGACATTGCATATGACAACATGGCTCCTCGCTGGTTCTTGGAAGCGGAACAACAATGTTTACAAGTAAGAGACATAGAATCATAGAACCTTAGAGCTGCAAGAGACCTCAGAAGGTCATCAAGTCCAGCCCCCTGCTCTAGGCAGGACCATCCCAACTAAATCAACCCGTCCAGGGCTTTGTCAAGCCGAGACTTAAACACCTCTAGGGATGGAGACTCCACTACTTCTCTAGGTAACCCATTCCAGTGCTTCACTACCCTCCTAGTGAAATAGTTTTTCCTAATATCCAACCTGGACCTCTCCCACCACGACTTGAGACCATTGCTCCTTGTTCTACCATCTGTCACTACTGAGAACAGCCTCTCTCCATCCTCTTTGGAACCTCCCTTCAGGAAGTTGAAGGCTGCTATCAAATCCCCCCTCACTCTTCACTTCTGCAGACTAAACAGACCCAACTCCCTCAGCCTCTCCTCATAAGTCATATGCTCCAGACGTGTTACTCCATAGCAGACATCAGTCCCCTCACAATACTTACCTCTGCAAATGGAAAAGATTCACGTGGTGTGATACAAAGGGTATCCAACCTTTATCTCCGCCTCTTAACACGATCCTTAACTACATCATGTCCCTGCAACAAGGTCTGTCAGTTTCATCTCTTAGAGTGCATCTAGCTTCCCTTGCAGCGTTTCACACACCTATAGAGGGTTTCTCTATATTTGCCCACCCAATCACATGCAGATTCCTAAAAAG